CATTTGCTAGTGAAGTTGTGGATTTTCATGATGTAGTTGGCTACTGCAGGCACCTTCTCGGCCTTGTGCTCCTTTTCGAAGTGGACGCCGTACACGTTTTCAGGGAACAGCTCGTTGCAGATGGTACAGATTTTCCACTTCTGCGTGGACGACGTGTGGATGGCAGAAGGACCTGGGGCAGCCACAGAAGACTTGGAGCCAGACTGACCCAAAGCTCTCGACGACGACTGCGACAACGACGTCTGTTTGAGCTGCGCCGCCGAGAGCGAGGAGGAGTTGGCAGACTGCAGCGAGTACCGCGCCGAGCTCTGGGACCTCTGCTCGCCCAGAGTGTAAGGCCTCCCGTTCCCGCTGGCTGAAAACTGCTTCAGGCTTTGTGTCTGCTGGGAAAGAGAAACGGCCGAGTTTCCACTGAGGCTGAGCCTCCCCCCAGGCTGACCGACGTAACTCGGGGGCACCGACTTGACCCCGTAATTGTTCTGCTGTAGGTGAACGTTTGACATCATGTTGACTCCCGCGGAATTTAACGTAGGCTTTGGTATAGTGAGTCTGTTCATCATCTGCTGGGACGAAAGGGAGCGGACGCTTCCGGAGAGGGCACCCATCCTCTGGGGGAGGCCCATGGGCTTTTTGTCCTGGGGTTTGGGAGCTATGAGCATCAAAGGTTTTGATCTGGGAACCACTACGTTAGTGTGACCTATCATCGCCGTGACCTGGTATCCGATGCGCTCGTGGTCTTCGATCACGTGCTGCACTAAAGCTTCGTAGGATTTCGGCATGAAGAGGCATCGCTTGCAGTGGATCCCTCCGTCCTCGCGGGCGCCGGCGCTGAGGGGAACGGCCCCATTGAGGGACTTCTCACCTCCCTTGGCCACGTAAGGAGCAGCAACATGCTGAAAATGTTCCCTGTAAATGTGCTTTCGGACTATTTCGTACAGCGGGTCGCGGTAAGTGCACTTCTTGCAGTAATAAACTGCTTGTTCTACACTGTCAGCCTGCTTGGGTTTAAGGCTCTCGTGTTTGTTTTTATCTTTGAAAGTGCTGATGCCTCCACTCGGTGTATTGGCGTTGGGCGCGTGGAATATTTTAATGTGCGTTTCCAAAGTCTTTTTGTCCGCATTGAAGGTACAGTAGGGGCAGTTGAGCAGGATCCTGTTCTCAAAGTCTTCGCTGTGAACATTCCGGAAGTGGCTCTTGTACGCTGAAAAGAACTTCGAGGAAAATGGACATGCACTGCAGCAAAAGGGCTTTGTCCGATAGTCCTTCAACAGAGAACAGAGCACAGACCCACTACTGAGAAGCAGTTTTCAGAAACACAAACTCATGATCTCCTAAGACAGCCCAGAACCCCCTGCAACCGCCTCAACATTCACGTCCCTCTCCCACGTGTGCCCTGCAGATCAGGCCCTAAAACCTTCATCATCTGAGCACACACGTAGATATGGCAAGTTCAGAGGCCTCTCGAGTTCAACCATGAGCTCAGCAGGCAAGGCCGAGGCAGAAACATCTGTCCCACCAGCCACAGAAAAGCCTCTTCCCTGCAGCTGAGCTGCAAGGAAACATTCCCTGTAAGCTCACTGCTGGGGGAAAAGGCAAGTAGGATTGTTTGAGGAGAAAAGTCTCACCTAAATCTGCCATTACAGGTGTAAGACGGATCTATAACTTGAGCTATTTCAGTGTCTTTATCCATCACACACTAATATCAAAGGTGGAATTCAAAACTTATTTTTGGTGAACAAGTGCATTTCAGCTGACCAAGACACAGGCTAAGGCTACACAGCCCTTAAAGCCACCAAGCCTTTTCCTCCAGATCAAACACAAACCTGTTTTCTAAACCAATCTTGAGTCAGGAGAAAAAGGAACTCGAGAATTCCACCCTGGCAGTTTCCCTGCAGCCTCTCCCTTTGTTACACTCAATGTGGTGCCAGTGCAGTTCTTGTCATCTGCTGCAACACAAACTGCAGGCCCAGTGGCCTAAGAGATGAGCACAAGCAAACCTGGTGCTCCTGGTGAGGGAACACATGAAGTCAAATAGCTGCAGACACTTCTCAGGAGTGTCAGAACAACTCTTGTGCATGGAGCCACACAGAAGCTGTGGGAAGGAGCTGGAGCTGGACTCCCTGAGCAGAAGGAAGCAGGAGTTTCTAGCCACCTGCTGAAGCCTCACACACCTGCTGGGCCAGAGCCAGGCCACAGCACACCCAGCAAATCAAACTGCTGGAACTGTGCTAAGCTTGGAAACAGGTGGGGAAGGGCTCCTGATGTGTGGCTGTCCAGGGATAAGGAGCAAGGTTTCCTGACCCACCTGTTCTCCAGCACTGGCTCTGCAGGCTCCTAGGATACACACCAGGGCTGAAGCTCAACAAAACAAGATTTCTGCTGTGCCCTGAGCTGCCACCACAGAGAGATCCATGGGTAAAGCTGCAGGAAAAGCTCCTGGCATGTCTGGGAAATGCCCTTTACACAAACCATCTTCACGCTCACGTGTGTCAACTCAAACTCTTACCAACCTGGTTTTTTGTAAGCGAAGGGTCCCACAGTCCCACATCCTCCCATGTAGTGTTTTTCAAATAAAAGTCATTAGGTTCAAACTGCTTAAAATCCTGGAGAAGGGGAAATGGGAAGAGAGGACAGAAAGTCATAAGCAAAGACCAACAGCCCCTTAAGCAACCCTGTAAGCATCCCTGCAGCCTCCCAGGTGCTGCTGGCCAGCGACAGAGACCACTAACCCCGGGCAGTGAGGGAGTGTCAGGTGCACCTCTGGGACCTGGAAAGGTGGGAAAAGTCAGGATCACAAAGCACCCAAAGAACTACTTTCAATACTCATCATCCTGACCGACCCAGTGCTGTAGTTTCATAGTCACCTCATTGTCAAAAGCAATCCTGGAGAGAAGTATTCCCACGCTTGGATGTTTCTTGGTTGGTTGGTTGGGTTTTTTTTGGAGTGGTGGTATGGTGTTTGTTTTGATTGGTTTTGTTCGGCTTGTAATAAATTTCACATAGGAATTCAGATAAGATTTTAAAGTTGGACATGTGTGAAATCCAATTCCTATTAAAAATCAATACGGGAAGCACTTTGGCATTTCAGCTTGGGGAGTGTCAGCAGCACAGAGGGACTCGGCCCTGCTGCTGAACTGAGTATTGACAGGAGCATTGTCCCAGCTCAGAATTCTCCCCTCAAACATGAGACTTGCCCCACACATTCTCCTTCTCTTACACATCTCACTTAACTGCTCCTTAAAGGGACACTGATGGAACAGCCAAGCAAAGAGGTCACCACGTGCTGAGCACTCGGAGCAGTCGGTGAACTGCCATCCCAGCTCAGGGACAGCTGCACTCCTGGGGCAGCAGGGATGGAGCCTGTCCAGAGCAGCAGCACAAACACCCTTCCTTCTACAAGCTGAGGCACAGAAGCGATTCCTGAACTGCATCACCTGCTGTTAGTATGGACAAACACTTCATGGAAACCTCAGACCCATCTTCTGCCCCCCCAGAACATCCCACACCACTCCCAGGTCCTGCAGCACTCCTGGATGTTCAGCACCAAGTGCTCAGTTTACAATCCAACATAAGCAAGGAGAACCTACCTTCAGTGTGCACCAAGTCCCACAGAGCCTGAGGTGTGGCTTCTCTCCACTAAACTTTCCAAAAGTGCTTACAGGGACATTTTATCTCAAGTTTTTAATTAACTCCTGACTTGTGTAGAACTTGTACAGCTCTAAAACCAAACTCAGTCACACCTCCAATATCTCACAGTTCCCCTAACTCTGGAGTATTTTAGCTCCCACACTTGGGAGGTGCCATACTTACTTCTATATGTTCTTTACAGTATTCCAAACCAATGTCACTAAGTATTTTTTTCACAGTTTTCCGGGCCTTTCTTAAACTGCCAAGGTTGTTGACAGGAAGTTGGAACATAGTTTCTATTGAAAAAGAGAATAAGAGAACAGGTTTAAGTCAAATCTGTTTGTCTGATAGTGTTGCACTTTTAATTCCTAGTACTTGGCTGTCCCAGTTCCCCACAGAGCTGCACCAGTAACTACCACACTGCCTGGTTTGTTCTCAGCTGGGGCTGCCCACAAGGGAGAGAGCACTGCAGAAAGGCACCAAACTGAGGGAGCAACTACTGCACTTGGAAACAGCTTTTACTTTTTGGGTGTTTGTATTTATAAACCTTTACACTCAGGTACTTAACTAATCTCACTTCTGTGCACAGTAGCCTAACTGATTAGAAAACTGGCAAGTTGAGCTTCAAGGTTTGTGTCAGTCTTTTAACAGCCTCTTCAGTGAGAGAGATGCTGCTTGCACTCAGCTGTAGGTGGGATAAGGAATGGAAGCTGTCTCCTCCCTTGCCTGTGTGCAGAGCTTGAACTGGCTGACAAGCTCTTTAGCAAACATTCTTCTGTGAAGAGGGACCCAGGAGCTTGGCTAGAGCCCTTCAGAGGGCTGGGTCTGCCCAGCTCCAGGGAATCCCAGATGCCAAGCCAGGTGCATTCCCAGGCTGCACCATTACCACTGGGATCTCCTCCCAGTGCCAATAAGCAGTGTCTCCTCGTGCAGGCAGGAGCTGTCAGGCTGCACCTCAGCTCCACAACCTGCACTGGAACGTGAGTCCCTGAGCACACAGCTGTTCTGGCAGTGAGAGGGGTGGAGCCAGTAGCAAGGCAGGCTTTTCTCCAAGAGAAGGGAAGGAAGCTCCTCAAGCAGCAAGAAAGCATCAGAGCTGCTATCCTGTTTCCTAGGCTTCAGTGCTTGCTGCAGAGAGCATCACCCCAAAGGATAAAAGCTGCATTTCTGATCACTAAAGTTTCTGAGAGCCAATTCAGAAATGCTGCTTTGCTGGAACAAGAAAAGGTTTGATTCAGAGCCCCAGACTAACCCACTGCAGGGCCAAAGACTACCCACACCCCTACACACAGACTCACTTGGACATTCCCAAGCAGAAGGCTGAAATGCAGAGTTAACACAAGTTTGCAGCCATTAAATATGTGAGTTAGACACAAATTCTCCCTTTTGTCATGGGATCAAGGGCAAGTGCTGAGCTACAAAGAGCTTACTAAGGAATTTTCCCAAGGGATACGGGCTGGGACTACACCTGAGTGTGTGATCAAAACCAACCTCCCAATGCACTATCATACACAGTCCCAAAGGCACTACCTGTCTGTTCCCATGCAGCTCCCCCAGCTACAGGCAGTGCTGCTGCACCCCGGGCTCTTCACACCAATGATTCACACAGCTCCTTGCCACGAGCAGAAACTAAGTGGAAACAAGCCCCAATTTATGTAAACCTACAGGAAAACTTTCAGAAGCACCAAAACGAGTCTGCCCACTAGGGATTTTGGTACCTGTGCCAGGCTGCCACTGTCACACCACCAAAGCAAACACAGTGTCACTGAACAGTCCTACAAAACCAGGAGACAAAGGAAAACAGAGTTTGGCCCTTGTCTGTAAATCTCAGGGATCCCAAACTGCTCAGGTAGTGTTTGCAATAGTGAGGTCAGACACATGGTGCAAAGTGAATTCTGACAGTCATTTCCAAACTGCATTGGGCAGGAAAAGAGTATTTCAATGTTCTGCATTAACTCCCTCCAAGCAGCACTTGCCAAGAGAATTCAGTGTAACAGAACCAGCTACAGCCTCAGGCACCAAACTCTCAGTGGAAGTGTATTAGCTCCTGGGCCTGCAGGGGAGTCTCGGGTACCTCCAGCCTCAGAGAAAAGGACTGGAATTGGAAAAAAAATAGAACCAAGTTCACATGAAAAGTATGTTCAGCACAGTATTTGGCACCTCTCACTTTAGGGAACCTCAAACCCACTTTACAGTATGAAGAATTGGCCTCCTAGTGAAATAGCTCATGGGTGTAACAACCTCACAAGTCTTGTGCTGCTTGTAGGAAAATCCTTTCTGTCCTCATGGCACAGCCATCAACCTGCTCATTTCAGGGCAAAATGCCACTACACTTCTTCCCCAAAGGGATCAAGTGCTTTCTCTTCATCCCTGTGTCTAACCGACCTAAACATGCCAAACACACCATGACAAACTCAAAGAAAGCAAATTATTTACAACTGCCTGAAAACAAGATCTCTGCTCTGTCTGCACCATCTCTCACCTCTGCCCTTTGCCTGCCTCAGTCAAGTCTTGAAGACAAGAAGTTATTAGGGTCCTCCTGTCCCTACACATCCTAACAGAGGATACAAATCCTCACAGCTGACCCCTAATCTTTGAAATATCAGCTCTGAAAATCAACCTTCCCTGCTGGACATAGCTGAGGCTAAGTCACCTGATCCTAACAAACACCTCACCCCTAAGCAAATACAGTTCAACTCGTGCAGGAAGTTTTTGTCTGTTGAATTGCAGTGAGTGGAGAGTCAGACACTCTGGTATCGCTGTGGTCTGTGACTCCAAAACAGCTTTTAGCACCTCCATTCGTTTCTGTTCACAGCAAGAAACTCAGACTGTCTCTGCACTGTGGGTACAGACACTCAGCAAAGCACCAACACCACCTCAACGAGTTTCCTCACCAGTGTCCCTGTGCTAACAGAAAGGCCTGAGCCAAGAACTCCCAGGTCCTCCCCAGAAACCCGAGGGGGCAGGAGGCAGTGTGTGTGTGTGAGGGGAGCAGAGCACAGCACGGGCTCCGTGGTACGTGGCACTGTGCTTGGCTTTCACCAGGCTGCAACAGTCCCAGCAAGGACAAACTCAACCTCAAGTGCAGTTCTCTTAAGTGCATCTTCTAACCTCCAAACTGGAGCAAAAGTGACTACAAAGGCTCCTGAAGCTTGACAAGTCCCAGGAACAGCAGCTCAGTTCATCACTAGGACCAGGACAGGCTGCTTGGTTCAGCTGATGGCCATGGCCAAGCTCCAGGCAGGGGAAGGAGGCAATGCCACTGTGCCTGGTGTGGCTCAAAGGTTCTGCAGGGTTTGCTCACACCTTGGGCTCACTGCAGCACCAAACAGCCCTCGGGCTGAGCTCTGTCCAGCCCCACAGGCTCCTCCTCTCACTCCACTAACCTGCCAGCCATGGTGGGCAGAGCAATGCTAGGAGGGGGGAAACTGTCTAACACCTTGAAGTGCTCTCAGGAGCACTGGTGGGAACAATATTCAGGAAAAAAACCCCAAACTTTCTGCACAGCTTTGGGAACTTAACAGTACAAATGTCCCAAGACACAGGAAACCAAGACTTCCCATTTTTATGTCATGCCAAAAACACAGGAAACAAGGTCTAGCCCCAAAACTAACCACTGTATAGTCACAAGTTTCAACCAGCCACAAATTCTTAATTGCCTTTTCAAAAACTTTTACCACTCAGACTTCAGTGACTTCCAGCCCCAAATTATCTCTTCTCCACTTCCTACTCTCACTAGCACTTCCCATTCCAGATGGAAACAATTGCAGTCACTCTCCTAAAAACATCCAGAGTGTGAAGTCTCACACATCCTCCTGTTATGTTACTCTGAGTTTTAAACCAGTTTAATACAGATAAACTCTCCTGACTGTACCAGCTTCAACTGGCCCAGCAGTTCAGCCCCCAACACACCAGTTACCAAGGGACTGGAACCACCTACGAAGCTGAGGTGAAAGATGAGTGCAAAAGTGACTGTGCAGCTCTTGGGGAAAATTCTGGTGAAACGCAGTAACTGCATGTCTGGGTTGGGCTGTGGACTGCAGCAGTGAGTGTTTGCTCACACTGCACCTGTGTCAGTGCACACAGCCCTCCCTGAGGGACATCCCAGTCCCACCCCAGCACCTGCAGCTGGAGACAGGAGGGAACACCAGAGGGAAAACACCAAAAACATCACCCTGAGCATCAGGAGATAAAAACGAGAAAACTTCCACCTGTCTTGAGACCCCCAAGGTGTTTCTATTCTAGTGTAACTAAAATCTCTGTTCTCCAGTGGGCCCTGACCAGAGGAACTGCCTGGCCCCTGCTAGCCCTGGTGCCCTCAGGCAGCAGCTGCTGAGCTGCCACAGCTTCACCTGCCCTGAGCCAGTGATCTCCCCACAGGCAGCTCCAGAGGCAGCAATGCTGCTGTGATCTGGGAAAGATGCTCCAGACAGCCTTGTGCTCTTAACTGAAGTCTTCAGCCAATATTCCCCATCTGTCCCAGTGTGTTATTTTCACTTCTGGACATTCTTCAGTGCTTACTTCAGCCAGAAATAAAGACCTAAAGGAATAACCTGGAGGAAAATCTTGCTGTGTCAAGGATCCACGACAGCACCAGTCTAGGCTTTCTAGAAAACCTGCTCTAGGTTGTCTTCTCTTGATGCTCCCTGGGAGTGACACCATCTCCTGCCTCCCATAACCAGCAAGCACAGCACACAGTCAGCCCTGAGCACTGCACTCAGGAAGGTTTGGACAGAGCAGCACTGGGAATTGGCAAGTGAAAACCAGTTAGGGAGTCCCCAAAAGCTATAAACAAACCCCCTAGTCCCTAGGGTACATCCCAAACCTGCCCCAGCAGGCCGAGGATCCCAATGCTCTTCACAAGGGCCACTGGTTGTTCTGCAGCACCTGCTCAGGGCACAGCCCAGCCAGGGAACACCTGATTCTGAGGGCACCAGAGGAGGAACTGGGAAGTTCCTGTCTATCTCATTTACTTCCTTTGAGAATGCCATGAACATAGCTCTCAGTTTATCTGACTTTCAGAGCAGAGAACAGGTAGAAGCAGCAGACAACCAAGAACAGGAGATCTACAACAGTCAACTTTCCTAAGGAGTATTGGGTGAAAATTATCAATGAAAAAGAAAGTTACAGAAATACAAACAAGGCTCCTGGAAGCAATTTTTTTACATGCATTTAGCAATTTCCTTGACATTCACTTTCTTTTCCCAGCTGATGAATCCCAGGCCCACAATGAAAGCCTTACAGGAACAGAGAGGTGGGAAACTCATTTAACCCAGACTGCTCCAAGCCCCATCCAACCTGGCCTGGAACACTCCCAGGGATGGAGCAGCCACAGCTGCTCTGGGCAACCTGTGCCAGTGTCTCAGCACCTCACAGGGAGGAATTTCTTCTTCATTTCTTCTCATCTCTTGAGCTCACTACTTTTTTAAAGTCCTCTAGGAAATTTACACTTCCGCAACTTTTGCTAAACAATTTCCCTCAGAATAAAACTGGTGATGCAGTTATAATTCTCTTGGGGGCGTTATAAAATGAATACAACAAAGCATCGGTTTTACCTTCTTATGAGCACGTGAGGTTGACCCTTCCTTTCCTAATGCTCTCATTTACTCCTGTGAGGAAGACTGAGAACTTTTTGGTGCTCTGCCCCCAGTGTGACCAACTGTTCTGCTGATCCAAGTGTTAGGTGTGTGCAAGTGTGCAAAACAGACAATTGTGGAAGCAAAGTGCAAACCAAATTTCTGCCCCGTCGTGACATCTATGCTCAGATCAATCTTGGCTTGTTAAAATAATCAGCAGTGTAAGAACTCCAGTTCATTAAGGCAAATTAGCTAAAAGACACTACTGGCTGTTATTCTGCACATGCTTATAAACCAGAGCTGCTCTCACTCTGTCTCTCCCCTCTCCCCCTCATCCTCCTCTGCTGCTTCACACAGTCCATCCTTTCGGTGCTCCTTCCCCCTCTCCTCCTCCTTCCTTTGCTGGTCCTTGGCCTCCTTGGTCCTTACCTCGCTCATTTTCCCTCTTCTCCTCTTCCCTGTGCCAATTCATAGGGTCCACATTCTTTCGTCGTTCTCTCTCATCCTGTCTCCAACGCTTCTTGATATCTTTGTCCTTAACTTGCTCATTTTCTCTCCTCTTCTCATCATCCCTGTGCCATTTAATTGTGTCTGCATTTTTCTGTGGCTCCACGCTTCGTTTGAGATAGTCTTGTCGCCTCCTCCTCTTTTTTAACATATCCCTTTCCCTGGCACGAGCCTGCTTTTCTTTCTGGGAAAGAAAAGCTTTACGGGGCATCATGAGCTGCTGCTGTACCTGCAATAATATCGTATCCATGGAACAATACACTATACATGCACTCAGTCAGGCACAACACCCCTCAGCTCAGTGCCTCACACACGGTCAGGACCACGAGCTGTTCCTCCTCTTCCCTGCGGGCTGGGCAGGGAGGCCCAGTGAGCACTGGGAGGGTGCCTGGGACCCCAGTGAGCACCGGGCTGTGCCTCCTCACAGCTCCTCCCCGAGCGAACAGGAGCTGGGAGGGAACTGCGAACCTTCAAACCTGTTCCTCTCTGACTGGAGAGCTGCATTTAACCAAACTCAGAGGTGCTCACTGCTCTGCTCAGACCTCCAGCTCCACCCAGTTTGGTAGGAAACGGCTCCTTTTCTCCTGGCTGGGAGGAGGGAGAGGGATTAGGAGACAAGCCACAATCTGAAGAATTGTGTAAGCTTTGTTTCCTGGGGAAACCTGGCCAAACACTTAGCTGCAGTTAATGAAATAAGTCCTGACTCATCTACTCAGACTTCCTCCAAGTCTGTTGTGTCTTGCTATTCACAAGAACAAAGGGGAAAAAAAATATGAGACTCTTTAATTGGAGTTTCTCTGACTGCATTCCTGAGGATTTGGGTCCCTGGGTTTGGGGTTTGGGGCTTTTTGTTCTTAAAGAGCTTCTTAGTGGAGACTACACTGAACAACTTGTTTACTTTTGGTCATTCTCTGGAATCATCCAACACATTCACATCTGCAAATTTAACAGTGCTCATACCTGCAATTTTGAAATCATGGAAACCAAAACAGACCCCAGGAAGAATTTACACCATTACTAAGCAGCTTAAATACTTGCTGCACACAGTGAGCAATGTTTCAGCAATGGCAAACTGCAGTTGTGGCCCAGGTTTGAGGGGTCTGGGTTTAATTTTTGTTTAGAAGAGAGATTGGCCGAGGTCTAATCAAAATGCAAACTGCAGAAAGGACAAAATTACTAGATTAGATACTTAAGCAAAGCCTAAAACAAAATGAAACAAATGTACTTTTAAAATTTAGCTACCTTATGGAAAGCACTTGTTCCCAGCATGCAATACTCCATCTTTCTCCTACAGAAAAAGCAACGTTTCAAACCCTTATTCTAGAAGCTGTTCCTCTCCTGTACAGAACACACCCCACACACACTGAGCCCTCTCCTCTGGCCTCTCTCAGGTCTGTACCGTGATCCCATGGCTTCCACTCCAGGAATTCAGCCCAGACAGCAGTGACAGGGAAGGGCTGCAGCAGTCCAACACCACCAGACAGAGACATGCAGTGTGTAACGTTAGCACACGGGGCAGGTTATGCTAGCAGCGACTCCATCCAAAGGTTAGGGCAGCTCCCTGGCAGGCACTGGGGTGAGGTGTTAGAGACTCCCAACCAGCCACAGCTCCTCTGCACTCACAGCCAGGAGAGCCTGGGACCAGCCCCCAGTGCAACCAGACACTCGACCAGGCTCATTTCTCTGGGGCTGCTGCCAGGACATTGCTGCTGTTTGCTACAGCAAACTGCACTCACTGACTCTGCAAACATACAGTATCTGCACAGTGTTATCAGCAACCTGATTCAATCCCAACAGCAGCAGCATGAATTAAATTGGGAGTACAACAAGTCATGCAAATGATGCTCCCTCCTCCCCTACCCGAGGCAAGCACCAACATTTAAGCATGTCATTTAAAAACACTCTCCTGGGGCTAATTGTTATATTTTCTTTCATTTGTTTGGCTGTTGTTTCTTTTTCCCCCTTTGGCTTTAGGCATTCAGAGTATTCCTCCCTCCCTGCAGCCCCACTTTGGCACACCAATTTACAGACAAATGATAGAAAATATCTTAATAAAGAACATTTCAGGTGAATTTCCAAAATAAAACATTTCAATTGAGATTCAAATAAGTCATGTCAGGTTCCAAGGAACAACTTAAAGGGACATCCAACTTAAACCACAGATCTTAGGACTTCCCTGTCCAAGTCTCAGGTTTCCCCCAGGCTGTTTCAGCACTTGGGGCAGGTTGGTCACTCCTCTTCCAGTCAAAATCAGCTTTCACTTCTACCCCTGATGGTTTTAAACTAACAGAAGGAGAAATCTTAACCCAGGACGCTAATTAATGCAGAGTGAAGCTGCCAGACTGACTGAGCCCGGAGCCCCCACCCCCTCCATTTATCTGCAGTTCAAGTTGGTGTTCCTTTAAGTTCCCAATGTCCAAACCTCAGAAGTAAAACAGTCAAAACTATAATTTCCATTATTTTGTGCCCACACTTTGCCAAATGAATATCTTAACCCTCTCCAGTCTATGGAGTACATAGGATGAGGCATTTACCTCCACAATTAATGGTGCTTGGGCGTCTCAGACTCATTGGACAAGTTTCATGCAAAGCCTCCAAACAATTCTCCTTGTAGGACACCCACCTCAGGGGTCTGTCACAGCTCCTGAGCGAGGCCGAGGCCCGG